CTTGGTGCTTGGTGTGCCCGTCGGGGTAGTGGCGCGTTCGCTCCTTGATTCTCGGAGGGGGGATGTAGTAGCGGCGCCCATCGTCCTGCATCATGGCGGTGTCCCCATAGTTGCATGGAGCGAACCGGCGGCGGTCATCCAGCCACCTTCGACGGGCTTCATCTGAGGTCTGGGGGCTGGAGTGGTGAGGCACGGTATCCGGATCTGGTGCTGCCAGACTTGTTCATGAAACCTCAAGTGGGGGTATTCGATGGTCCCACGTCAGGGAGGCTTGCAGGCGGTCGATGCCCTGGGACTGGCTCCACCGGAGGGGTCTGTCGGTGCCGGGGTAAGTGGCCTTGCGTGACCAGTTGACTCGGCCCCACCATAGTCGTGGTCGGCTCACGATCCCAAGGTCGGCTGCGTCGACCAGAATCGGGCGGCGCTTCCGACGCGGGGAATGTTTAACCTCTTGCTTGTTAACCATCACGACGTTTTCTACGAGGAGGTGGACCGGTGGCCAGTCACTGAACCCCTGTTCAAGCTCCTCCAGGAAGGGTGCAGAAAGACTCCATCTTGGCCCCTTCTGCGCCCGACCTGCCTGGGGCGTTGTCTTTGATGCGTGAGAAATCGGGGCACGGTGGGCCGGCTAAGATCCACAGCTGGTGAGGGGTGTTCTCGGCCTGGCTTCTGATGAATTTGGCCGCCTCGGATGGGGTGTCTTGGTGGTGGGTCCCTGTCATACTTGTACTGGTGATGGCGCAGCACACTGGATCTGTCTCCCAAGCAATCAGGAGTGGTGGCTGACTCAGGAGGTCGTGAAGGATGCAGGGCCCCGATCCGATGCCATCAAAGAAGCTGCCATCCTCCTCATCTTGGGACTTGTCCCAGAAGAACCAGTGGTCGAACCAGGGATCCAGCTCGTGGCACAGTCCATGGCCTCCTGGTAGGTCTCTAGCTCTTCGCAAACCTCGCCTGCGGCTTCGGTGAAGGTCATGTGGCTGCGCATCCCTGGTCATAATAGACCTTGAACTGTTCGAGCTTCTGCGGCCTCAGGCGGGCTCTCGTGCTGAGCCAATCACAAAACTCATGGACCACCAGCTCGGGCCCATAATCCAAGAGGATCCAGGCCAATGGTCAACATGTTCTTGGTCTCCTGCTTGGATTTGACCGGGCTCCCTCGTGGGCGTGAAGGAGCGGTGGGTCATGATCTCCCCCAAGCCCACTGGGGTGTACATCTTGCTCTTGGTGTGCTCGTGGTGCATCCGTGCCAACGTCACCTCGGCCCCCAAAAGCTCCTTCTCTGGAAAACGGCGGGGAATGCCCTGGATCTCGACCAGGTTGTAGCGCTGGATTGCGGAGTTCCATACTCCGACAGGCAGCTGGCGTGATGGCTTCTCATCTGCCAGAGAGGCGGTCGCCGCTGGCGCAGCTGGACCGGCGGGCGGGGTAGCGCCTGGCCAAGGCGGCAGCCGCAGGTGGTGGATCCACAGCTTCTGTGCCTCTTCCCATGCCGTGATGATCACAGCTTCCACGATGGGCTTATCGGCCTCATCAATGATGAGGTGCAAGTCACCCTTCGTGTAGCCGTCCAACAGCGGCTGCACCAGTGTGGTCTTCAGGTTGTCGATGCTATTGGCCACTTTGGCAAACGCGCCAACTGCCGTGAGCCCGCGGGCTTGCATGTACTCGCAAACCATCGAGTCCGCACCGGCATTGCGGAGCACTTCGCTGAGGGGCGGCAGGGTCACCGTCATGTCCATTGTCCCTGGAGCCCACTGTCTGGCGGGACAACTCGTGGAACTCAGCGTATGTGAATCATGTTGGTGAGCGAGCCAACGATGGTGAGTGGGTAGCAGCAAAGGCCCCCAGTACCTGCCCTGGTTACCTGTCGCCTTCGACTCTCGACTCGCGACACGATGCAGAACTGCAAGAGTCACAGAGATCATGCCCTGTTTGCCTCAACCTGTCAAAACCACGACTCACGGGCGCCGAACGTCGATCACGATTCGTGGTCCGAGAAGAAACGACGAATTTTGTCACGGAGTTCCTGGTCTACGTGGAGTCCTCATCGTTGGAAGAGACGTCTTCGAGAGATGAGCTGCCTTCTGAGCTCGACTCGGCGTCTGGTTCAAGGTGAAAACATCGCCGACACGGCTTGAAGGCCCCTTCTATGTCGGGGATCCGGTGAAAAAGCGTGGGCTGCTCATCGATGCCAGGCTTGTGGGCCACTTTGCTGCGATTCCACACGATCAGCGTGCCTGCACTCGGGCGTTGTACGACTGCCCGCCTTGAATGATGCCGAGGCCCTCCGGACGTTGTCTAAGGTCAATGACGTCCTCAGTCGGCTATCGACTGATGGCCTATATAGGGGGCCAGCATGTCCTGTCCAAGTGCTCGCAGGCTCCCTTCTTGCTGCTGGGGTTGGGCGGCCTGGAGGGCCAACTGCAGGGATGCCCCTGCCCCATCCCGAACCGCCGGGAAGTCTCGCCGAGGTGCTATGGATGGAGCCAGAGCAGATCCCATGGGGCGCTCACAGAGCTGTTGCAACTGGGCGGGCGTGAATCCCGCTGCGGTCAATTGATTGAAGCGACGGGCCACGTCGGGCAGCGATCGAATCCCATGGCGTACCAAAAGCGGGGCCAGCTCTTGCAGGCCGGTGGCTTGGAGGGCGTCCCACAGTCCCTGAGGTCCGGCCTCGTGACTCATCGTCCTGAGAGTCAATGAGCTTGGGGTCTCTGCGGAAAAACGATGTGAGCATGGGCACGGTCAAAATACATCGGATGAACTCGACCTGGCATTCACTCACGACCGAAATCGAGCGACACGTCGACAACGACCGGCGATCACAACCCCCAGGGCGATCCGACCGCGAACGGCAAGACAAAATGACTGCGCACAAGCGGCGGCAAGGCGATTTCATCAAAAACTATCGAGCACTTAAGGGGTGACAGTCAGGAACTGGCTGATGGTCCTTGCGGGCCCCGCTTTGTCTGGGGGCCACAAATCAGAACGTCCCACTCGTCATCCGAGGCATGAGGGCCTCGAGCATGTTGGAACTGACGCCGATACACTTCGGCGATAGCTCGGACGAAGGTTCCACTCACATGTGAGATCAGCACCTCCTTTCTTGTCCGGGGTAAAGGCAGCTGCAAGCCGACACTGCTTCGACGAGTTCCTCCATCCGGAGGCCGTCCAAGGCCGTCCACCCAGAGGTCCGCCAGCACCAAATGCGTTCCTTCAAGCGCAGCCATCACGCTTGCGGTGACGCGTTTGAGCTGTGAAGGCACGAGCCCCACGTCCGTCGTTCTCCATTGCAGAGTGGCCTGAGGCCCAGTGAAGGTCTTGCCCAGCAGAGCCGCCACCGAGTCCATGACGAACTGGACTGCATCCTCGAAGATTCGGAAGCACTCCTGGGCCGGGGGAGGTAGAGCATGAAGCAAACACAAGGTCACCGAACACCAGCTGATCATCGCCGTCAAAGATCGGCGGAAGTCGTCAACTGACACTCCGGAAGTCAGAGCTCGAAGCTCTCGGAGCGTCCAAGCCGCCAAAGGTTGACTCGCCAGATCGGACATGGCGACGAGCAACCTGCCAACGTAGGTAGGGCTACCTAGCGTCGGCTCAGAGGGTGGCACCCCTCTGAAATTTGAACCAGAACAGCTCCAACGATCGCTGTTCTTCCTGCGTTACTACGTACAACTAGTTGTACATCACAACAATGTCTCTGGTACTTATGTTGTCAGCAGGGCAGTAGCCACATCGAACCTTGCGGGTCAGTTTCAGCCGAGGGATAGGCTGTGTATCCGAACTTCTGCCAAGGTTCAGTGAGGGTCCAGTTCGTGGACTGTACCATGACAATGTCAAGTTGTTGAAGTCCAATCCAGTGCATGAGCTCGAGGTAGTCATGGGACCGAAGGGACATGCAGTCCCAGCTCATGAAAGAGGCATGCGGTCGAGCTTGTCGTGGATGGTGGACCTGCTCCTCCCTGGACGAGGGTTTGGTGCTCGGTGCAGCTGGAGTGTCAAACCAAAGTCTTCCTCTATAGGAGGCAAAGCCATGCTGTGCTAATTTGCATTGCATTCTGCGAAAACTCCTTTTGGAGGAGCAGATGTGTCTGGATGCCCCTTGGGGCGCTTCATGCCCTATGCCGTATTGGTTGGGGGATTTACATCGAATTCCCTCAAATCTAATTTCCCCTTCAGGGGGGCCTGCGGCAGCCCCCCAACCCTTCCCTTTCATTCCACCAACAACCGTGCTGAAAAGTCCAAGTGGCTCGATGGAGTGCCTGGAATTGGGACCAGGCACAGTTGAACAGCTGCCAGAGGAGGACGAAGCAAGGTCGAAAGGTGCCAGTGCCAGCGCGGCGAGAGCTACGAGCCAGCACATGGGGCATCGGGATGCCCAAAGACACCACCCCCGGTTCATCGCAGGAACGGTGAGTGAAGCATCGTGGCCAGGATAGCCGTTCGAACTGCAAAAGGCTGATAGATAGATAGATAGATAGATAGATAGATAGACAGATAGACAGAGATAGAGATAGAGATAGAGATAGAGATAGAGATAGAGATAGAGATAGAGATAGAGATAGAGATAGATAGAGATAGATAGATAGATAGAGATAGAGAGAAAGATAGACCGATTGATGGATCGACGGATCGATGGATGAATGGATATGGATATGGATATGGATATGGATGGTTAGGATCGATAGGGATGCATAGGGATCGATAGGCATAGATACGAATAGATAGGATTAGATAGGATTAGATAAGATTTGATAAGATTAGATAAGATTAGATTTAGATATAGATAGATATAGATATAAATACAAATACAAATAGAGATATAGATATAGATATAGTAGATATATATATATGTCTATTTATTTATTGATATGTATAGAATCTTGCAACGTCCACAATGCAATCAAGAACACAGTGTCAACATCGCAAGACTTCCAGAGTGGCTGGAAGATTGATTGACGCTTGAAGGCAACGCCCAAACTGAGGCCACAAACGTCTGGGTTGAAGAAGACCCTCAGTCAGGCATCTGCATGGTGGAAGTGCAGAGAACTCAAATGCACCTATTGTCCAACTGGCTTTCAGCAATGTGCACAACTTCACATCTGGCCACATGAGCACCAAGACGAAGACCCCAGCCATTTCTTGGGGCTTTGTCCAGGCGCCCAGGCCCACGGCCCAGGATACCAATGCAGGCTCCAAAGGCGGCAATGCTGACGAACCTGAGACTCACAGTTTGGAGAAGCAACGTTCTCGATTCTGGCATAAAATTATATGCGTATGATGTATAATATGTATCCCCATGGCAGTTGTTGACATGGCGGTTGATAAACACCCAAGAGCAATCCTTAAAGCACGAATGTTTTGCTCATGATCCTATTGAAGCACTTGATTGTGTAACAAAAGACTTTTGAGCAAGCACTGGCCGGGTCATAAAGATGCATGAATCCATTGGCAAATTGTGCAAAGTTGCATCCGTTCACTTTCACTCTGAGGCTTCCCAGCGCATAGTTGTACGAAGGCCCATCGGCAAACCACTTGCCTGGTGGTCCAGCTAAAAACAAAACAGCTGACAACTGTAGTTGTCTGAATCTGTGCCTTCTCCTGTTGTTTGCAACTGTGGAGCAGGAATCACGAACTAAGAATCACAAAAATACAAATGATCACGAGCAAACACTGCTTGTAATCGTCGGAGATCAATACCACTATGCACTATTCATTACTATTTCACTCATCACCGTACTGCATATCATCAGAAAACAACTAAAGCACCACAATGCACATCTCTGCTTCGGGCATTGCAACATGCAACCGCCACACTGCCAATTACACCACCACAAATGATCACATTGCCGGTGAGCTCACGGTATAAGTCAGCATATCGCCGAGAGTTGTTGCTTAGTTGTAGGTGCTTTTGCTGCTCTGCCGAACATCGACGCTTGCCACGGGCTGCAATGATTTCGCACCATTTGTCTGAGGTCAGTGCGGAGGAAGAGCTCAAAGAAGAAGTCGTTAATGGTGGGATCCTCAAGAGCCAAGTATCGGCGTCATCATGCTTTTGATCAAGAGTAAATAGACGATGGTCAGCAGTCAGCAGTGTAGCACGCAATTGTAGCATCATCACTGAAACCAAAAAACGGCTCTTGAACCCAAGAATATGAACACTGTGTAAGGAAAGAATACAAGGGTGAGCTTATCAATTGCAGAAAGTGATGCATAAGGATGTGTATATAGAGATATATAGTTACTTAGTGCAGTGATATGAACGGTTCCATTAAAGAACGATTCGCCATGTCAGAATAGGGGATGCAACAGCAACCTTAAAAGAATACCTCGCTTGCCCTGAAGAGAATTACAAGGACCTCGTGGGCCAAGTTTGTTCATGAAGGAAATGGAAAACAGCCTAGCAGTAGTTTAACCCTCAAGCAAGTTAGCATGTTCGATACATCTCGGGCTTCTCGACTCTACTCGCAACAGCTTCGAGAACCAAACACATTCCTTCTTGGCATAGGGACCAATGCGATGGCTTTCTCTACTGCACTGTTTCGGTTCTTCACCACAAAATAGATGCTAGCAGCAGCATTAATTTTATTTGTGACGATTCACACAGCAAGCATTTATACTTGCACCACATGACTGGGGCCCGGGCGGTTTGCGCCTTGAGCATCTGTGGATAACGCTGGCGCATTGAGAAGTGCGACCAGTTCCCCTTCCTTGGTGCAAAACAACTCTTGAGTTTCACAAGGAGTGCGAGCAAGTAGGACAGGATTGGGTTGGGATAGCTATCATCTGGCGATCCGATTGCTCGACAGGTTGAAGCCTATTTGGGCAGCTCTTATTTACTGGGCAAGTACGGCGTCGTCCTTGCCCAAACTTGAACTCATAGGAGACATTGAAACAACTGAGCCACCTGCGACGCTAAGCAAACGATAATTTCTAGCAACTGTGCTTCGAGTAGTGAGTAGTATCAAGACACCCCTGAAGGACCATCCAACTTCCAGAGCCCATCTCTGCTACAGGATGCTACAGTACAAGTACACCCCTCACCACTCTCCACACTGGGTCAACTCTGGGCCTATATGTCGTTTATCGTGCTTGCTTCTTGAGACTTCCATAGTCTTTGGAAAGGAGCATGATCCTAAAAAGAAAGCTAGGCCAACTTCATTGTTTCAAGCTAGCTTGCTTGCGGTCAGCCTTTTTTGCATGGTTTGAAGCCAACATCGTTTCGTTGAAGAGCTTCCTGTGATGACCTGCCTGACTCAAGCTTTTGGTCACTTGCAGCACCCTTCCATCCCGCTCGTCTGGGTGGATCTGACGCCGAGTAGTGGGAGAGGTGGCCCGCACGCAAAGCCCTGGAGAGCAGCATCATGACGACCTGCGGGTATGGCAATGTGAGAACGCCTGTCCATTCTAATGACTTGGTTCGTTCATAGTAAAGTGACTGAAGTGAGGGTCCCACAGCACCCCATGCGCCCAGGTTGTAGCAACAAGATTTATCAAGATTTGATGGCCAACTCAGAAGCAGAGTTCTCAAAAGGATATTTGTCACCAAATTGCGAAGCATGCGGGAGAACATGAAAATAGCTGTGTGCAGAATCAACCAATACCAACATCTCAATTGATGGATTCGCGAGTCTGCCAACACGGACAATCCGGTAGGAGTACAGAGGAGAAGGGCTCTTGGAAAGCCGCACACATGTCATCAATGCCGTCATAAATGGTCTACAAAAAAACACAAGTTCCAAAACTGCCCTCCATCCCTGCCAGCCTAAATCGTCTGATTGTCACCGGCCAACGTTGGTCGCGGCGTGGCAAACCCAAGGCTGTTAAGCCAAAATTGTCGAGAGTTGCAGTCCACAGTTGTACGGTCTTATCTCCGATCTTCGGACACGCGGACTCAGCGGCAGCAGAGTCGCAGTTGTACGGTCTAAAAATGCTATCGTTCCTACTCCTCCAAAGAAGAAGTTTTGTGCCTGCCAGTGCACAATATCCCGGACTGCAAAAAAAATATCCAATATAACCTTACGGTAAGGGTCTCAAATTGGAGCTACTCAGAGCTTCGAATCAAAAGTCAAGTCAAATCGCTAGTGGCTACATGCCTGCAGGTGTGCCTGATTCAATTACATAGTAGAGCCGAGCATGTACATAAGTTCTGCAAATTGTTCGATGTGATGGAACTTGTCACATAGAGGTTGGAATGTATGGTGCGAAAAGCATCTAAGGTTTGGAACTCAGTTTTTCCATATTAATTAGCATGAAGAAAAGTTGCAAAGCGCTGAGGATTTCTGAGTTTCGTAATGACAGCATTGACAGAAGCAACCCATCTCAGGAGCAAACGGGCCGCTCCGCTCGTTCTTTCTCTCGATCCTTGTGTTCCTTCTTCTCCTGGAGAACAAAGATGCTGAACAAGGAAATAGCGATCTTGAGCGTCCCAGCATGGAGCCCAAGCAAGAACAAATCCAAGTTCCACAAGCTTCGAATATCCGGTAATGAAGAATGAACCATGTACACGACAAAGCATGAAAGGATACTGCAGGACCATGACGATCCACCACTTGACCAAATAGATATATAGTTTGGACTGAAGGATCCAACCAGTCCAAGCAAAGTGGATGTGAATAAAAAGATGCCTTTCCACAAACCCCAAGAACATAAATGTCATCACTTTACTCTTTCAATCACATATGTTTCCCACCTGCTCGGTCTCAGCACACACGGGCCCGAACAGGAATGCCAAATATATGTTTTATCTAGTTTAGTTGCATTTATACCGGACAGAACGCCAAATAAAATGACAGAGAAATGTCAAACAGAGTGTGAGATAGAAAATATGAACGATAGAATGCCATAATGTCAGGACATATATGGCACAATCAGGGATCACACGAAGATATGTCAGGAGAGGCGTAAGGATGATTGGGAACACAAGTCCGAACGCATGCTATACATGATGCGATCACAAATGTCAGAACACATGCCCAAAAAATGCCATAGCGGGACACGCGACACTCACTCTTGTGAGAAATTTTCTGGCACAATCTCATGGAACACTCTTGTGGGACTCTCTTGTGGCACAGTCTTGTGGGCAGGGATGCTCTTATGGGACACTCTTGTCGGCTTCTCAAGAATGAGCGTTTCGTACGACCCTTCCTCCCGAAGTCAAACGTCAGCTCTCCAAAACGGCGGACGGTCGCGGCGAACAGTTGCGAACATGAAAGCAACATCCCGCACACAACGCTGTACCCTCAGACTCCCAAAGTTAAACGAGAAGCCTTCGCTACGCAGTTGAGAAAAGTTATTGTATCCGATTGTATCTGAATTGTTTTCAAGAATACTTATATAAGTTTGTTATCTTAAGTTTGTTATCCTATGACCGTTCGTCCTTGGGCCTCTCCCCTTCCGCCCGCCGACGTGGCCGGTCAGGCGAAGCACCTTGGTGACAGGCTGCTGGCACACTGGCGCTGTGGGGGTCATGCCTTTCCAGAGTGTTGCACCAAACAACTTCCTGCACCAATGTTCGCGTCATTCAATCAAAGTTTACACTGTCTACACATTTGTACAATATATATATATGTATATATAGTGATGAGGTGAAACTTAGAACGTATTTTGTCACTTCTAAAAAGGTTCCATTGTTTTAGAACGTCAGGAAAACCACCATTATAGCACATCCTCATAAAACGGACTAGTATCTTAGAACATCCTCTTCGAACATCACAGCCAAATTTGCCCCTAATGTTCTAAGTGGATGGCTGCTATGTTCTAAGTACATGATCCTCTGAAGGCCTCAATGCAGTATACATAACTTATCTGCTGGGTGCTAGGAAATCAGTTCCTGTTGATTCCGTTCGATGTCCTTTCATTCCTATCGATTTCCTCATAACTTCCTTTTACTTCCAATTGATTTCCTTGGGATTACCAGTTCCTTTTAAACACCGTTTGATTCCTATTGATGTCCTTTTGGATTCCTCTTAATTTGTTGTCCTTTCAAATTCCTTCTGAATTCCTATTAATTTCCGGGTTATGTGTTAAAAACATGTGTATGAATAATACATATATATATATATATGTGTGTTTTCTATTTTCACCCCCTAAAAATACATCTGCAGGTTGGTATGGTCATGGTGCATGTTCCATGGTATATGTTCTGCAAGTGGTTGATTGATTTTATACCAACTCCTATTTCGTTAATCCTTGTAAATTTCCGTGATTCCTTTTGAATTCCTTGACAATGTGTTTCATTCCGATCGATGTTTTTTGCTATCAACTCCTTGCGATTCCTATGGGTGTTTTTTTTAATGCCTTTTGAATCCTATCAATTTCCCTTTGGAGTCCTATTGGTTGCCTTTTAACTTCTTTTGACTCCTATTGATGTCCTTTCGGAATCCTTTTGATTCCTATTGGTTTCCTTTTGAATTCCGATTGATTCCTTTTGATTTCCTTTGGGTTCCTGTTGATTTCCTTTTAAATGTACTTGATTCCTATTGGTGCCCTTTTAAATGTCTATTGATCTCCTTTTAACTCCCTTTTGATTCCTATTGATTTCCTTTGGAAGCCCTATAGATTCCTATTGGTTTCCTTTTACATTTTTTAGGTTCCTGTTGATTTCCTTCTCATTATGCGCGATTTCCTTGTAATGCTTTCCTTTCGACTGCTATTGACTTCCTCTTAACTTCCTTTTGACTCCTATTGATTTCCTCTTAAGCTTCTTTGATTCCTATTGATTGCCTTCTTGATTTCCTTCGTGAATGCCTAGTGATCTCCTAGTTATATACACGCACCCTATACATATATATATATATACATCTTCAGGTTGGTATGGTCATGGTGCATGTTCTATGTTCTATGTTCTGCAGGTGATTGAATGACTTTATACCCATGTTCTAAGTGCAATGTTCTAAGTTCAGCACACTTCGATCGATGTTCTAAGTTAGAGCACAGGTGAATGTTCTAAGTCCTATTTTTAGACCGTCAAGACCTGCTGATTGTTTCTCCAAACCGTATTCTAAGTTTCGCCTCGTCACGAAATGTAGAATTTTGGCTTTAGGCCAGGTTCTGACAGTATATACCTCTGTCCAAAAGTAAGCTAGGTCATAGGCAAAGCTGCTACATGCGTATGCTCTTTCAGGATTCTTTCGGAATTACCACGCGACAAAAGCATGTCATTCAAGAACAATGCGGGAACAAGAACCATTGGATTGTATTGTGTAAAAACAAGACTTCACTTTTCATGACAAGAACCATCACTGAGAGCCCCTGCCGCTGGGTGCGTGGACACCGCTCGGAGCCTGCAAAAATTCTGATCCAAAAGGCACGAGCGCTTACAGATCAAGCGGCAAAGACATCACGTTGAGCCCCCACCTCAGGTCGGTCTTCCTGGCACGAGCCGAAAAATCGAGGACATGGAGCAACAAATTATTGAGATCTGTATCAATACAGAGCGACTCGGATGTGCTTATCAAATCAAGCACAACCACTTCAAAACCCTCTGATTGGCGCGCTTGCATGTATGTAGCAGTACGTGTGCTGCAGTGCCCATGACACTTGCTTTGCAAAGTCTGACGGATTCGAGAAACTATTCCAAGAATTTCACTCAAACCATTAACCATTTAGCTCCATGCACAGGCGTGCATCTTGACGGGCGTCTTGACGTATGAACTACTCACATAGCTTCTACCACTAAAGATATAGATGAAGCCACAATGGATTCTGGAAGGACATTGCACCTTGAAACACATGGCTTGATCATGTCACTTGTTTTGCACCACTCACAAGGGTAACCAGGTCTTCCCTACAGGTCCATCTGTTTAACCAGGCCCCGTACTCGCTCGCGTCGGCGTTCTTCTTTGGTCCGGGAATCAGCACCTCAAAATGTCACGCCCATTGACGGTTGGCAGCATTTGTATGACACCCGCTATCTAGGCTTGTAAGACTGTAAGGGATATGATGATGGAGGTATTCTCAGTGCGGAGGAAGCTTTAGGCTATCTCAGAGGATAGTACTGAACTTGGACGCCATGTTAGCAAAGGTCATCCTTTCTGATTTGTCGCTGTGCAATTTGCTTGAAGCCCTGTGGCTTGAAGGGTAGCAGGAAGCTGTTGCCCAATTCAATTCAAACCTGTCAGCCCAAGCACTGCCCAGAAAGTTCAAAGGTCATGCATCTTTACTGATCAAATCCTTTGCAATGAACCCCTGAATGGGTGAGAGCAACAGCCCCGGTCACTGTAGGGAAGCAGTCGCCTCTTCATGCAGAGGGACAATGCATGACGTTCTGCGTTCAGTTGCTTTAACCAACAAGCAGTGTACAACACCGTCCAAGTTGATGTGGAGACTCACAATGGTTCGGTTTCGGTGGTGTTAATCAAATACAATTTCTGGAATCTATGGCTTTCCTACACTCCTAAGATTGTTCTTTCAGCTTTAGAACTTCTCCAACATTGCCGTGTTTCCTTCGAGGTCCCGTCGGTCCTGTCAGGCCACGGCCTGTCAGTCCCGTCATTCCCGTCGTTCCCGTCGGGCCCAATTGGTTGCACGGAGTTTGATGCCTGTTCATTACATATGAGGCTAAAAAAACATTTCTACGGTGCTTGGGACAAGCTATGAAAGGAGCCTCTCTGGAGAAATTGAATTGTTTTTTTGATCAGGAGAATGAGAAAACTGGCAAACCTGCGGTTTGCTTGTACGGTGACAGTCACAGAGCTCAAACCCAACACTTGTAATGGTTGGTCTTTCCACTAGCTTTTACTCATGGTCTTGATGGTCAGTGACCTTTTCCTCAGGGGGCTCTTACTCTCAAACTACGAAATACAAAAGACTCGCCTTCATGCTGGCACTTGGTCTTCATGTCAACAGGACGAAGCAATAAAATACACCAGCATAGACCCAGATAGCTAGGCAGAATCCCACTACCTGTTGACATGCGACTGGCTGGAACAAAAATGCACGCAGCCTGCACAGCCAGCTTACGGCACCTCCACAGCGCGCACAATCAGCTGACACCAGCACCGGTGCGCTTTGCCAGCTGACAACACCGGCAGCGGCGCCAGCGCCCGACCAGCGCC